CCTTCAAAGTTGCACAATAAATACTTGAAGAAGAAAAGGAAAGGAAAAAGGAAAGCAAAATGGGAAAGAGAAGAAAAAAAGAAGGAGGATAGCTAAATAATTTAGCTTGCATACGATATTCTCTTGGCAAAAGCATTCGTGCTTGTGGATTCTTATTTCAAGTGAAGGACTGGTGGCATTCTTGTTTAAGCCTGGTGATTAAAGGACAAGAATAATGGGTCAAAGGGATGTGACTTCCCACACTGTGATATAAAATTAAGACATCTTTCAGATTTAAGACCAGAGAAGATAGAGCAAGCAAGAAATTTTTGTTGCCTCTGATCTAAATTGACAGTGTATGGACAAGGACTGTCAGGAGGAAGACGAGCCATAGAAGGGCAACCATCAAAAGCATCCTCTGATTCCACTTTTCAATGCTCCTGGAAAGTGAGTTTTTAACATGAAGGGAAGGGGAGACATTAAAATATTGGGCAAAGTCTCATATACATCTCTTTCCTTTGAAAGTTCTATTCTTTGAATTGGGTGTAAAGCAAGACCCAGGCTGCTCTTATGATGACCTGGACATGTGGGACACATGAAGTCATTAAGAATTCCTTGGCTTCTGTAGTCGAGACCACATCTCCATGTTCTCTACTTATCCTTGAACCTAAAGGGCCTCAGAGTCACAAAGTCAGGGAGATCTTAGTACTGGTGTTACTTACCATTAATCTCCAGCTCTAGTTTTTAAAATAATTCTCATAGCCAGGGATTAATATCAGCATTCATTGTTTCTAAGTTGAACTGGTAGGGGGTGGAAGGAGAACCTTATAGGAAAATTAAAAAATTATACTTCTTCTTAAATAACGATGAAGCCTCTGTTTGGTACATGACCGTAATGCAAATATTAAACTGTCCTTGTAACAGCCTTTTGGGTGACTTGTCATCTTAAACAAAGATCTGTTTTAAAATAAATAACTATTCAGAAGGTTGAAAGCAAAGAGTTTTGCGGGGTGGGGGGGAATCAAATCAAATGTAAGGAGTAAAGGAGAACAAATAGACAAATTAAAGGGAAAGGGTGGAATTTGGAGTTTATATACAGGACTAGAAGAATGGGGAGCAGTAAAGGAAAGATTTCAAGCTGGCAGGAAAATCACATTTCCCAAAATGGTCAGGTGCTCCAGTGAATAATACCCTGAAAGTGCAAATCATTATTATAACTGCATTAGGCTAATAACAAAGCAACCTCCTGTTTTGATAAAGTACTTAGATGTAGATAGTAAATTCTTAGATATAGGAAAACATTTTATTTAATTAGTGGAAATTTGATTATCTCTGGATGTGTTCCATTAGTGTGTCTGGGTTATCTGGGTGTATCCGTTATCAGGAATTTGGCTTCACAAGTCCATTTAGTGAGTTCCATTAAGGTATTTTTCTGCTTAACTCCTTGTGGCCCAGTGTCTGGAAGTTGGGCCTTAGGGGGTTTTCAGGTTTCTTTGCATACACTTTAGTGGCTTGTCAGAGCAGTTCTAGTAGTGGAGAATTTCCCATACGTGGGTGCCTTAGCCCACATTTAGCAGGAGGTGGGAAATCAGGCAGAGATGCCTTCCAGAGCTGAGGGGGCCTCTTGGCATTTCCCTGGCAGACTCATGCTTATCATCAGCCAGAACCCAGGCACTCATTAGGCTGTTGATGAAAAGCATCCCAAAGAAAATGCCAGCAAATCGTGCCACTGTGCTGGCAGGAAACGAAAACTGCTCAGAGCAAGTGGAGCCAAGAGAGCTGTTGAAACGAAAGGTAACATCAAGGGTGTGATCACTGACTCACACAGGCGTTCAGGATTCAGGATGCAGCTTTCTGCTTCACTGGGGAAAGCATGAGGCCCTCTTGTCTGTCAGCCAATGTCAACTCAACAGAGGGTCTGAGATAGACTGGAAGGTGGGCTCTGTGAATTAAGCTTTGTTGGGCTTGGGTAAATGCTAGGAATTTGGGTTGTTTTCTTTCCTCAAAGGAGTCTCTCCTATGAAAAACAGAAATTACAAAAAAGTTTCTGTTGTTGATTTTTTTTTTGTTCCCAACAATTAAGACCACATTTAAAAAAAAAAAAAAAATTCCGAAAGCACTACGAGTCCCCTATTAAAGTGGGGTCAGACAGTGTGGAGGGGGAAAGACAAAACCTGAGAATCTGTGAATCCAGCAAAAGACAAAATAAGAGGTATTTTAATTCCAAAGGCATTTTTATCCTGAGATTAAAATAGCTGCCAGAGGGAGAAGGGGAGATGCGGGCAACAGAAGGCAGCACCAACATGCAAGCAAGGCACACTGACATCTTCATTCAGCTGGGTGCAGTAGGCAGAGTAATGCCCCTCAGAGATGTTCAGTTCCTATTCACAGTGAATAGGCTGCCTTACATGGCAAAGGAAAATTAAGATTGCTAATTAGCTGACTTCAAGAAAGGAGATTATCATGGATTATCCCAGTGGGCCCATTGTAATGACAGAGGTCCTTAAATATGGAAGGCAGAAGTGGAGGTCTGCATGATATGATGTGAGGACTCAGACAATCATTGCTGGCTTTGAAGCTGTAGGAAAGCAGCTACAAGCCAAGGAATGTGGGTGGCCTCTAAAAGTTGCAAAAGACAAGGAAACCCATTCTCCCCTAGGGCCTCTGGAAAGGAATGCAGCCCAGCTTATTTTAGCCCAGAGAAAGCTATGTTGGATTTTTGACTTCCAGAACAAGATAATAAATTTGAGTTTTTTACATCACTATGTTTGTGGTATTAGTAATTAACAACAGCAGCAATAGAAAATGAATACATTGGTATTTAGGAAATTTATCTGAAGTTCCAAAAAGGCAGTTTCCGAGTTTATTTACAATTCTTGGGGCAAAAAAGTAAATGAGGAAAGCAGTGGGAAGATCCAAAAGGCACATTGATGTGTGAGAACTGTAAGACATGTTACATACCTCATCTTTGTTAATCTTTACAACATTCTTACAAGGATGTATCATCGTTTCTAATCTGTAGATGAGGATCTTTTTATAAAGTAAAACAAATCATATCCTTTAACTGATTAAAATTCTCCAGTGGTTTCCATCTCATCTACACGAAAATCTGAACTCATTATCCTAGCCTATATAGCTCTCCCTCAGAGTGCAGACTACTTCAGCATCAGCCAGGACTTTGGTAGAAAGGCAATGCTCAGACCTTATAACAGACTTTCTCAATCAGAATCTCTGGGGATAGGGCTCAGGAATATATGTTTTTACTTATACTCCAAGTGATTTTTATACACAATAAAACATTTGAGAAGCACTACTCCACGTGATGTGCACTCACCTACCTCTCCAACCAAGTCTGGTGCCACACTCATCCTTGCTTGGGACACTAGTCTTCTTTCCTTTCCTGAACATGTCGTGTTCACACCTATCTTGTGACTTCTGCGTAGTCTATTCCCTTTGCCTGTTAAGCGCATCCTTAGAAATTTGCCTATTGTCTAATATCATTATGGTCTATTGAGTTTTCCCTGATTGTGATTTCACTGGAGTCCAAAGAAAGTGCTAATGGGACTGGCACCCCATTATTTCATCCTAACTATGTCTATGAGTTGAGAAAATCAGAGATCCACTAGTCATGAACAGAAAGATATAGATGATACGAAAATGGACACTGGTTCTTAACTATGTAGATTTAAGTTTTGCTACCAGTTTTGGTGATTGTAATCACAATGGTTTTTTTTGTTTTTTTTTTTGTCTTGAAAGGAGCTCACCTTTGTTACCATTGGAAAAGCTTTTAGTGCTAGTAAATATCACAGTTTTTCTATCTCATGATCTTGCTTGCACTATTCATTCAAATTCTTTTCGGAAAGGCGGATTTAATAAGCAAAAACAACTCTCAGCATGTATTCTGTATGTTAGCTGGTGTATGCTGAAACTGTGTTAACTATGGATCCTTCATGATGGAGAAGCGCATATGCTTTTTTAATGCCTAAATTTTGCCATTTTTACAATGAGTTCAGTTGTATTTTACAAGTCTCTTGGCAAAGTCTTTAAGGTTGACTGTTTTCCTCTTTTATAAATTAGCTTCAGTAGATTATTTTTATAGTGAAAGCATTAAGATAGTATCAAAGTTTAGTTCTATTGAAAATCATTGCTTTACCCAGAGGAGCATTTAGCATTTTTTAACCTTCACAATAAATCCCTACTGCAATTAATAAACCCCAGAATGTTAGCAGTATTATAATGGAATAGCATTTCTTATGTATTAATAACAGTCCAGGGTAGACATTTCTGGTCAGTGGACGGCTTTCTCCCAACTCTTAGGGCCTCAGAACCTTCTGCATCTAGCCAGCAGATGGGGAGAGTGTAAAAGTCTCACCTGTTTCTTAAAGACCTGGAAGTGACATCACTGTTACTCATATTCCCTTGGCTAGAATATGTCACAAGGCTACAACTGGATGCAAGATGAATAGAGAAATTTTGTTCCTGGGTGAGCAGCCATTCCCAGTAACAAAATCACCCTGTGAAAGAGAAATACAAATATTGGTGGGAAGCCAGCTATTAATATCTCCAAAATCCTGTGTAAATTATTTTAGTGCTGCATTATACTGCAACCCATTATACTGTGAACCAAATGTAGTGCTCAATCACAGCAAGTACCTGCCTCTTTCCTGGTACCGTATGTGCTTTTCACCCTTTTAATTGTGCCTTTCTTATATACTACCATAGCACTTAATATTTCCTCATTTAGAAATTCTCATCATTCTTATAATTATTTGTTCTACTGCATTGTAAGCTTGTTAAGGGTAGGACCATATAGTCCCCTTGCCCATTGTATGCCCAGTACCCACCATAGTGCCTAACATAGTGTGCCTCACACATAGTAGAGTCTTAATAACTTATTTTGAACCAATGAATAAATGAAAGTACTAAATTCCCATTGCAATATATTATCTCTTAAGATATGTCCTATGTTGTTAAATCAAACAAAAATTAAGATCCTTTGTTCTTTTTGTCTTTTCATAAAGGACATGATGCCATTGTCACACTCCTGAAGCATTATAAGAGACCACAGGATGAATTACTCTGTAATGAATATTCTCAGCCTGGAGGAGGTACCCCTTTTCTTATTCAGTTTTCATTGTTGTACAGTGTAGTGCCTAAAGGTAAACCTGTGTTTCTGTTACTGCCATTCTGGGGCTAGGAGGGAGGACCAACCCTATGCCATATTAGCTTTATTTTAAGAAAACTTATGTCTGAGTAAGGCTGAACATAAAGAAGCTTCCATTTATGCTATTTTCTAACTCACCAATCTGCAGTTCCTCCAAGTTTAACATTCCCTGATCTGGACGTTTATGAGGCTTGTTCATGACTAGGAAGGCCTGGGTAAGCTGAGCACAGTCGTTTTCCATTTCAGTAATCTGTTACTGAATACTCATATCTAGACACAAATTAAATCTGCTGAAGTCTGCTACAACTTGGATTTTGTTTTAAATCTTTTTATGTACTTTCTAAATAAATACTTGCAGTACAGCTTCAGTATCCAGAGGGAGATTTGGGCCTTAAGCTATGTTTTACTTGGTTTCGTCACCTGATTCTTTTTATAATGTTGAACTTTTATGTAGGAAAAAATGATTGCTATTTTCAACTCTATTATATAATTTAATTTCTAGATGGCTCTTACGTATCTGTTCCATCTCCCTTGGGAAAGATTAAAAGCATGACAAAAGGTACTTATTAATATGGGATGATTGTTACATTTTATTACATAGGTTAACTATTGTTTCAAATATGATAACTTTCTATTTTGTTTTACATATTACAAATGATGACTGTTTTAAAAGCATAAAGAATATTGCCAACAGATCATTCGTTCCTTAATTTAACCTTACCGTTTTTGCCCTTGCAGTACATAAAGATATAATAACAGTGAAAATTTCATGAGTATTAAAGCTCAAACTCTCATAGTGCTATTTAGATATTTTTATTTTTTAATTATAATGAATTACAAATGTTAATATTTCCTTAAGAAGAATTGAGAATAGGTTTGCCTCAGAAGAAATATTTGAAAAAAACATTACTTTTTCAAAATATCCTAAATAAGTTATACTTTGGAAACTTTTTGAATGTATGCTGCACACAGAAATTAATACCGTTGGACCAGAAAAGTAAAAAAATATGATTCAACTGTAAATTTATGTTTAACTGTTTGGAATTCAAAGTCCTTTAAGATTATTTTTGGGGTTCGGATGGTTCCTCAGAATTATTCATGTGTTTATTTCCTGACATTTAATTGACATCCCTGTAAGGTAAGCCTATTGGGATAGATTGAAGGGATTGACCAGATCAGAACCTTTATCATGATGTGATATGGTCTGCACTCCAGGGTTGCCACATCATGCAGGCAAGCTGGTGGGTGGCTAAACCCTTAGCCCTGACAACAAAGAGCAAGGAACTGAGACAGAGAACTAGCCTGCTTTTAATGCAGGGGGACATGGATCATTTGTGATAAGGTTTTAGTATCTTCAAGTAGTCCATTACAGTTGGAAAATTAAATGTTACTAGGAAATGGTGTTTTTGGCTAAGTATATATGTGCATGTGTGTGTACACATCCACATGTGTGCTTATTATCTTAAAATATAAAATAACAATTCCTGTTTGCAGAGAAGGCAGATGTTCTCCTACTAAGGGCTGGATTGCCTTCACATTTCCATCTTCAGTTTTCGGAAATTGAGTTCCATGAGATTATTGGCTCAGGTAACCTAAGAAAATGCAGGTCTGCTTTTGTTTAATGAGCCCAAGATAATATGCGTTTAATTATTTCTCTTAAACAATTTTAGGTTCTTTTGGGAAAGTATATAAAGGACGATGCAGAAATAAAATAGTGGCTATAAAACGGTAAGCATGCAAAAGAAAAAATTTAGCATCCTGGTGACCTTTGAGAAGCATATGCATGGCAATCCCCCTGTCTGCTGGATCCACCTGTTGACTGAAGATTTCCTGTTGCTGCCATTTCTAGTTATCGAGCCAACACCTACTGCTCCAAGTCAGATGTGGATATGTTTTGCCGAGAGGTGTCCATTCTCTGCCAGCTCAATCATCCCTGTGTAATTCAGTTTGTGGGGGCCTGCTTGAATGATCCCAGCCAGTTTGCCATTGTCACTCAATACATATCAGGGGGTTCTCTCTTCTCCCTCCTTCATGAACAGAAAAGGTATGGATCTCTTGTTCTGATTTATCCTTGGACACATTGGTGGAATTACTCACGCAACACTTCAGAGGCTTTCCGATTGAATGAGTCTTTACCTTCTGAAATGTGTAAGTGCTCATAAGTGTAGCATTTTAAATATGGCTAATAATTTATGCCTAATAATTGTGTTCCATTGAATAGAAATATCCTGTGCTTTCTTAATAGGAATTCAGTTGAAGGTAACAAATTCAAGGAACTTAAATTGGCAACTGAAGCTTAAAATAATTAGGCTAAATTTGACACACCGATAAAGCAGATATATTTAAGCTCAGAATAAAATAATTCCCAGGGGTTGCAGTATTTATAAAAGAAAGTTTCAAAAAAGAATGATGTTGCCCAAGTCTAATTTGAATTCACTTCTTAGGTCTATGCATACAATAATTAGAATGTGGTCTCACTCACTGATTAAAAATAGATTCCATTTTTATATTATTACAAAGAAATTAAGTATAATATTACAAATAAATTATAAAATCAAGTATAATATTTTAAACAAGAGGTGCTATACATTTGAGTAGATCGTTAAACATTTTCTGATATATAAAAGCTATTTTTCCAGATTTGTTGAATTTTTAGCTTACCCTTCAAGAAAGGAAAAAAGGGCTTAAATTACACAGACTAACAAATCTCACACACCATTTGATACCTTTTAGAAAGATATGGTGTTGGCTTTGACCATTTCATCTTCATTAAATCTATTTTTAAATTCTAGGATTCTTGATTTGCAGTCTAAATTAATTATTGCAGTAGACGTTGCCAAAGGCATGGAGTACCTTCACAACCTGACACAGCCAATTATACACCGTGACTTGAACAGGTATTTTTCTTCCCTAAATAATGAACTTAGAATTGTATAACTGACTAAGAGACTAAGACAAATTTCTAAAATATATGTTAGATTTATTGCAGATCAGGGTACTCTGTGGGTAAGAGGACAAGCTACCACAAGCCTAGGTGATAGAGTTTTGCCATTCATTGTCTTTTATAAGAATAGAAAGCTGTATAACTGCTTCTCATGGAGCTTTCAAATCTATGAAGAATGTCCAGAAAGATAGTGATGTCTGTTAAGATGTACCAGCTAACTAGTTCCTAGGTCAGTAAGGTCAGATCATAAGTACTGAGCTCAATGACGATTAAAAAATGATAATCTCGTACAAAGTTAGGTGTTAAAGGAGGTCCTGATACGAAATTATCTGAAGCACTACTTTGTGCTACCATTTCGGTATTTTTGCATTAGTAAATTCAGCCAAACCACAATAGCATATTTACCTAGTTTTATGTGAAGAGGATTTCATGTGAAATAGAGACTTGAAACAAAGAATCAGAGTGTTCCAGTGGTTGAAGCTTTCTCTGAGTCTTACAGGAAAGGCCAATATACAAAATGGGGCAGTTTTGGTTGAAGGCAGAGTGGGGGTAGAAAACTCTGTTCATATCCCATTTCCCACTGCTAAGGGGGGAGAATCCTGGGCCACCTCTGTGGAATCCAAAAGATGCTGTAGAGATTAGTCGGACAACCACTGATCTAGTTTGTGAAGCAAGTCAGATTATTCCACATCAGTAACTTTCATTTCATCAATAAAGTTCCTATAGGTCCCGTATGTAGTCCTTTACACAAACTCTACAGTTCTGAAGCTATAAAATATTAATTAATTACCGCAGTCAATCATTTGTTCAACATTTATTTGGACATCCACCATGTTTAAAGCCTTCATACTTGGCACTGTAGAACTTACAAAGTGAAACTGCCATAGACTCTACTTCCAAGGAGCTTTCACATTCTAGTAAGGAGAAAAATACTTACCTAAATATATTTTAACGTATAAAATAATAAATTCTAGAAAAGAGACAGTGAAAAATTTCTATAAAATTTCAGAAAGAAGACTATTAATTATTTCTGAGGAATTTAGAGCAACTCAACATAAGAGGTGACATATAATCTTGATCCTGAAGGATGGAGAGAATTTGGAAGAGCATCCTAGGCTTAGGGAAGACATTAATAAAATAGAGATGAGATTAGAAAATTAGAGGTATATAGGAAATATGAACAGTTTCATTTTAGTGTACTAAGTGTATAAATGTATGTAGTATGTGTAGTATAGGAAAAGGACAAGGAACAAAATATAGAACAATGAAAAAAAAGCACAAAGTTTAATGAATGTTAGACTAAGGTAGTTCAGACTTTGTTTTGTAAGCAAGAAAGAGGCACTGAGGACGTTTGAGCTGGAAATCGCCAATTCAGAGCTGCATTATAAAAAGATTAATCTAGCATCTTTTAAAGATCGGCTTGAGGGGAAGTCAAGAAAGTGGCAATTGTATGACTGGCAATTGTAGTAATCTAGACAAGAAGGAATGAAAAGCAGATTTCACTAGCATCAGTGGAAATGAAAGGAAAAGACAGATATGAAAGATAAGAGAGATAAAATCAATAAGACATGAGAGTGGCAAAATCTTAGATATTGAAAGTAAACATATATATGGGACTCAATCTATTTCTAATTATTTACTAGTTTTAAAATAAATAATTTCTTCACTGTTATTAATAGCTATTAGTTCTTTCCTTTACCTCTCTTTTTAAAAAATGTTAATAAACATTTTTTCTTTGAGTTTCAGAAACAGATTTAGATGATAACTTAGCATAATGCAAACATGATTTTGAGTATTACGAGTATTACTTTGCCATCTCAACCATCTTTGAAAATTGTACTAAAGCAAATGAGTGGTCATTGAAAGTTTTCTCTAGTTGTAATTCTTTATTTGTGGGCTATTAAATGTATATTCTGTTACCCTATAAGTCAAAGTTGTTACCACTATTATGAAGTAGGACCAAAAATATAAATGTTGATTAAAAGTGAAAACAGCACATTTACTATACAGCAGATATGTTTATATATATACAGTTTTTGTTCCTTCTAATCTAAACTAAATGCTTAAGTTGCACCAAAAAGTCTTCAAATTTTACAAAACAGTTTCGTAAATGCCTTCAATATGACAGAGTCTCAAACTATTGCATCTATTAATATTATTTGTGGACTATTTTCTCCCAATCTTTAATATGGTAACAGCAATAAAACATTGTTTTCAGATTAATGCAGAAGTAGCACTGTACATGGCCGAAAAGAGCATTGGTTATTCCTCTCAGAGGGCTCACTACAATGTAAGTGAGTATATGGCCCATAAGTGCGACAGTCGCGCTCGCGGGGTGGCTTCCTACTGCGGTCGCCAGTGCGCCGGGCACCTGGGCTGGGCCGCCGCCGCCACTTGGCGCCCGGGCTCCCCGCAGCCTCCCGGGCCCCCACCCGCTGGCGGTATCCACAGCCTCCCGGTTGCTAAGGGAGGAGGGAAGGCGAGCGCAGAGGGTCTGGAATAGCCGAGGCGCTGCTGCAACCCAGCCTGGGGAAGCTGGAAGTAAAACCAGCTTCCACCCCTGTTTCTGGGCCCGATAGGGGAGGAGACCCAGGCCTGGCCCCTGCTCTGTTGCCCTGGGGTGCAGGTTCCCCAGGTACCAGTCATCTGAAAACACAAACGCGCGCGCGCACACATTTTTCTTTTAAGAGTGAAATTCAAACAGAAAGACTATCATCACTGTATTCAGAGAACCTTGTTGTACCACATCCACCAGAAAGAGCTCCTTAAACATTTAGTTCCACAAAGTAATCCTATTTATGAGCTTCTCTTGGGTGTCGATGTTCAGCCCTAATTTCCATCTCTATTTCTGACATGTTCAGTTTCCATTTGAAGTCAACCTGTCTTTAGTTCCCTAAACCTCCAGAAGAAACAACGAGTTCTCTCTGACTCTCAAGGTCCTACCCATTATTTAAACGGAAATTCTCCGTCCAACTTGTTCCGGTTTTCTCTGAGGGTAGATTTGCCCCTGCCTCTTCACCCAGTTCTCGGTTTCCAGAAGGCCAGATACGTTGCAAACATTCTCATCGCATTTCATTTTGGGTAAGGTCCCGCCTCTCCTACTCCACCACTAGAATATCCTTTAGTCCTGTGTTGTCCTCTCTTTGTACCCCTGCGGAAATAGCTGAAGTTTCCTCCCAGGGCCAGTTAAAGTGTTCTTGCTCTCTCAGCTGCCTCCATTAGAACGTCTCATTTAATTTTGGCTGCATTTACCAATTCTAAAAATAGTGCTCTTACTGAACACCCCATTGAGTAAATTCCCTTAGACACATACTCCCTTTAAATTAAAACAGGTATATTTAAGTCAGAGAAAAACTTATTCATTTTGCTGACACTGTCATGTTGCTTGCATAAACCTGGTCAAACCTACTCTCACAGTACCTGCCATCAGAATCTTTGCTGCAATCGTCCCAGTCAGACAATTCACTCAATCTCACATTTTAGGGGTTGATTGAAAGCAACTATATGCCATTTGAAATGCTACACAAGATATGTGTGTGCGCAAATACATGTATTTGTGTGTATAATAGAGCACAGGTACAATTTGGCCCAAACCAGAAATTCTATGATACCAAAGTTTACTTTTTATTTGCTATAAAAAATATTGCCACCACACTCAGGATTTCTTATTCCAGTGCATTTTGTGGTGAAGTAGTTCATTCTGCTGCCTCTTTCCTTAACACAATAGTCACACACTGAGAATCCCCAAAGCCAGGGTAGCTGGAGTGCCTTCCCTATAACAGTGTTACCTTCCCTCACCCCGGGACTGAGCATGGTGACACGCAGCCCCTGCCCCCTTGTTCCTCTAAAACCTTTCAAATGCTTCCCTGTGACTGGTGGTGAACTTACTGGCCTGCAATTTTCTGGTGTTACTGGCTCCTTACATTCCCATTTTCTGTTCTTCGGGGATATGGCCTGTATCAAGTAGGCTTTTGGAAATGTCAACAAAGGCTTTCCTCTGTTCAGCCTTGTTTCTTCTCTGCTCTCATTTCTTGGGAGGCACCATGAATGCCCTCTTGGCACCTTGTTGATTGCTTAAGCAGTTAACCTTTCAATAATGACATTAATTCTGCCGTGTGGCAATCGGTTCATTTCTCACTTCATCATTTTCAACCCTTGCTTGCTGAGAGTCATTTGTGTTGTTGTGTTCTTAAGGTTCTGAGGTTCAATTGAGTGCAACCAGACTAGGGACCAAGAGCCAGAATTTCTAGCTATAAATGAGAAACTGTCTTAATAGGTGGATATTTCTTTCCAATTGATTGAATTTCCAATAGCTAGCATACCTTGAATTTGGCCTAGAAAAAGAGATATAGGTAATTGTAAACTTTCCTGCCTTGTTTAATATTTTCTATTTCAATATTCTCCTGTCAGCCTTGGAAGAAAGCAACTTTCCAAATAATGTTAGTCTTCTCTGGCTGGGATCACAGCATGGACATCTCCCAGGATCTGTGTTGGAGTGGGCTACCACCCCACTGGAAGACCACAGGCTCTGGAGCCAGATCACGCAAAATGAAATCCCAGCTTTGCCACATCTTATCTGTGTCCTTGGCAATTTGTTTAAAGTATCAGTTTCCTAAATTCTAAGATGGTAATAATTATACCTGCCTTATTGAATTTAAATGAGAAAATACATTAGCTGTTATCATTATTTTTGTTCTTTATTATTTTGAAAGAATATTTTCACTACTTAATATTCTTGGATGCCTGAGTTTCTTTACTGAATTAAATGTTTCTAAGGGCCTATCTCTCCTTTGAATTGTATTACCACAAGCTTTGCTTATAATTTCTCAAGTGGATAATTTTTTCTTGTCATAAAGACCTGAGAAATAACTGGATTATTTGACTGTAGATCTCTTTCTATAAAGAAGGGCAAATGGGTCAAAATCATATAATCATATATTACTACCTTCATTG